AACCTACCCCTAAAGGGGATTTTTTTTTAAAAAAATTTTTTTCCTATCCCGGGGAATAACAGACCTAACCAAACCCCGATTTCAGATAGGGAAGTTTTCTACATATAAAGTTGGGGAGTCAAAATAATTTATTTTATAAAAAAATATAACCTTCCCCCCGTAGTACCGCACCCCAACCCCGTACCCTTTGCAGCCCGGGTTTTAATTAGGAAGGGAATTACAGGGCCTGGTAAATTTAAAACCAATACATAGGAAGGGGGAAAATACTGGACATGTAATTACATAGGAGTGTTGAGGTCATTATGGAGTCTATTCATGCCATGGTCACATTCTGCAGAATGAAAATTTTGCATTTTTTGAATGTTGTGCATGAAAAGACCCTATCAACCCCCCCCCCCCCACACACACACACACACACACACACACACACACAACTGACATAGCCTGTTGTGGGATGAAAGGCAGCAAAGGAATAAGTTAAAGAACACTCTTCCAGGTGTTACAGTAGGTTTTTGGTGAGGTCTACTCAGCCAGGTCGTTCAAGATTGATGTTGGGAAATGCCCTCAAAACCGGCCACTAGGGGCAACAGTGAGCGCTTTTACCATCTAGTAGACTTGGGTTTTGTGAGGGTGTTGTGGAAGGGGGTGATCCCATGACTCTGGATCCGAAGGATGGGTGTTCAATCCCAGTAAAAAAAAAAAAACAGTATCTAAATAAGTAATTCACAGTTGGAATCCATTAGAAATACTTTCAATTATCAATCCTATGACTCTGGATCATGACTGGGAAACTGATTTTTATCCCAAACTTTAACCCTTACCGTAACCATTTGGAATGAGTGCCTAATCTTTAACTTCGAAATTTGACGTTTGGAGAACGTCTAATTTTACAAAGAGAGAGCTTGTTGGGTCTACTCTCCCCTATCCGCTTCAGGATGCAGACTGCACCACCTGCTGGTGTGACGGTGCAATGGTCCTGGTAACAGTTGATCACTTCAATAGTAATAGTATCATCAGAATTATGATATCACACAAGGTTCATTAATAAGAGACTAACACAATGAGGATTTTGGAAAGTAGTACTTATTTAATGTCATTATTGCAAATGTGAAAAAAAAATAGATGCTCCGTAAGAAAAAACCCCAGTTGGAATCCATTAGAAATACACTCAATTATCAAAAACACCACTTTATAAACACAGCTCTCTCTGGGCATGGAAATTATTGTTAAGTATTTACCACCATAGTGCACGTTTAGGCCTGGTCCCAGATCCAACTCCTAACAGACTGGCGCCCAGACTAACAGACTGGCGCCCAGGCTAACAGACTGGCGCCCAGGCTAACAGACTGGCGCCCAGGCTAACAGACTGGCGCCCAGGCTAACAGACTGGCGCCCAGGCTAGTTTAGCAATATAAAAAAGGTTCCGTCAGTAACAAAAAGCAATATGAGAAATATAAGCGACCCTAAAATGTAATTCTTCAAAGAAATCCTGCACCAGCAGTAATAAGCAAGGGGATGGGAGGATGGATGGGAGGATGGATGGGAGGATGGATGGATGGGAGGATGGATGGATGGATGGAGGATGGATGGGAGGATGGATGGATGGATGGGTGATGGATGATGGATGGATGGATGGAGGATGGATGGAGGGAAGATGGGATTGGATGGATGGGAGGATGGATGGATGGATGGATGGGGATGGATGGGAGGATGGATGGATGGGAGGATGATGGATGGATGGATGGGAGGATGGATGGATGGATGGATGGGAGGATGGATGGATGGATGGAGGATGGATGGATGGATGGGAGGATGGATGGATGGGAGGATGGATGGATGGGAGGATGGATGGATAGGTTAGGTTAGTGTTGCTCAGTACATCTCCCTAAGAGCAGGTGCAGTAGCCACACTGGTAAACACAGCAGGATATCAATGAAGTGCACAGGAAGCCACACTGGTAAACACTGCAGGATATCAATGCAGTGCACAGGAAGCCAACTCTCCCTGCATCCTAATTATCTAGGTGTCCTCCCCACACAATTAAAAGCGTTGGATAATTGGTGTAAGCACGGGAGTACCCCCCATTTTTCCTTAAACTAGTCAGTCTCTTTAAAATCCATGAAGGGAAGTGATCAAGTGCACACTTAGGGCAGAATGTTAAAGAATCGGGACATAGACAACAGCTACAAGCAGACGCTGAAGGACACATCAGTCACACTCCTCTGAATAAGTGCTGGGGCCAGAGTTCCTCTCCAGTAGCCATTAGCCTAAACTTGTCAAAATCAATGTGAGTCTTAAGACAAAAAGATGATTTTTGGCTCCAGTTGTTACTGGCAGTAATGTAGACGTATGTGCGCAAAAGAGCTGTTCCTGAGGTACAGCCACAGCATTTCTGTGTGGTACCACACTGTTGGACAAACTACTACACACTTCTTAACCACTGGTGGGTTTGAGTGAGTTCATCCCAGCCTGGTGGTGAAAACTCCTTTCAGCCAATGCTTACATCATAAGGACCTGTATTTAGGCACTAAGTTAGTCTTTCTCCCTTTTCCCATCCACTTTGTACCCTCTTTGTAAACAGTTGCTCCCATCTGGGTCGTATTCACTAGCCACCAAACCGAAGAAAAACAGGGAGGGACTATCTGAACCTGTCCAATAAGAAACAATCGTTTTAGTTTTCCATTGCAAAAACGTTTTGCTACAGCGTGGCCTAATGAATACGACCTTGTAAACAGTTCCATTAGAAACCAGAGAGGGGGCAGCTGAGTGATTCAGTGTGTGACTCTTCAGACTAGTATTAGAGTGGTTTAAAGTGGCGTTGCAATGAGAAAACGTAACTATTCCATTATTGCTAGCTATGCCTGTACCGTAAAAACACCAGGTCATCCGAAAATCACTCCACTCTGCCTAGTTAAACTGTTCTGCTAGGACCAAATTCAACCTAAATGAAACGCTTGTTTACGTGTTTTGTGTCTAATGAACACCACCCAGGAGTCTGTCTTTAGGTGTATAAGTGCAGGGGCGTGAACGGGGTTAGTAGGCGCATGCCTTGAAAAGCAACCCCGAAATTAGAAACATTATCACAATGCGGCAAAAAGTCCACCATCAGCATCATTGTTACAAATAGAAAATCCAATACAAGAATACAAGTGTAATTCATCCAGAATAGAAAAATGATTCAGACAATCCATGATTCAAAAACAGGAAGAGGAAGACAGGGCAGGCTGCTGGATTCTCCCTGTTCCGGAACACAGACAGGAAGAGGAAGACAGGGCAGGCTGCTGGATTCTCCCTGTTCCGGAACACAGACAGGAAGAGGAAGACAGGGCAGGCTGCTGGATTCTCCCTGTTCCGGAACACTGTATCAGAAGAGAGACAGGAGTGGTTCAGCATGGCCGGAAAAGACATGGATTAGAGGAGACTGAGGAGGTGTGGATTCCTTGACGAGAAGGAGACAGGGGGGGTATTAGAAGGAGACATGGCAGGGGGTTCAGGGACATGGAGGAGGGGTTAGAGAAGGAGTGAGAGACATGAGGGAGAAGGAGACTGGAGTATTGAAGGAGACATGGAGGGGTTTAGAAGGAGACATGGAGGGGGTAGAAGGAGACATGGAGGGGTGAAGGAGAATGAGTAGAAGGAGACATGGGGGGTAGAAGGAGACATGGAGGGTAGAAGGAGACATGGAGGGGTAGATAGTAAAGGAGAGACATGGAGGGGGTAGAAGAAGAAGGACATGGAGGGGGTAGTAAGAAGGAGACATGAGGGGTAGAAGGAGACATGGAGGGGGTAGAAGAAGGAGGTATGAAGGGGATGGAGGGTAAAGGAGACATGGAGGGGTAGATAGTAGAGGAGACATGGAGGGGTAGAAGGAGACAGGAGGGGGTAAGAATAGGGTAGAAGGAGACATGGAGGGGGTATAGAAGGAGACATGGAGGGGGTATAGAAGGAGACATGGAGGGGTAGATAGAGGAGACATGGAGGGGTTAGAAGGAGACATGGAGGGGGTAAATAGAAGGAGACATGGAGGGGTAGAAGGAGACATGGAGGGGGTAGAAGGAGACATGGAGGGGGTAGAAGGAGACATGGAGGGGGTAGAAGGAGACATGGAGGGGGTAGAAGGAGACATGGAGGGGTAGAAGGAGACATGGAGGGGGTAGAAGGAGACATGGAGGGGGTAGAAGGAGACATGGAGGGGGTAGAAGGAGACATGGAGGGGCAGGTGGACAGAGACTCTAAACATCCAAACAGACAGAGAGAGTGAGACAGACAAACTGCAAACAGACATCTGCAGGTTCTTGTGCAGGTTTCTGAAGTGGCATCTGACCCTTTTTGGCGTGGAGGAAGGGGGTATCCAGGATCAGGTTCAAGGCACGAAACACTCCGCAAATGAGTGAAACAGGGAGGGACTATCTAATCTTGACCAATAAGAAATGCTTCTTTTCATTTTCTGTTGCAAAGGGAAGTTTTTCTACCGTGTGCCCTAATAAACACGACCCAGGTTCCCCTGGGGGAAGAGGGTGGAGGGCATGGGTATCCAGGTTCCCCTGGGGGAAGAGAGGGGAGGGCATGGGTACCCAGGTCCCCTTGGGGGTAGAGGGTGGAGGGCATGGGTACCCAGGTCCCCTTGGGGGTAGAGAGGGGAGGGCATGGGTACCCAGGTCCCCTTGGGGGAAGAGGGTGGAGGGCATGGGTACCCAGGTCCCCTTGGGGGTAGAGAGGGGAGGGCATGGGTATCCAGGTCCCCTTGGGGAAGAGGGTGGAGGGCATGGGTACCCTGGTCCCCTTGGGGGTAGAGGGTGGAGGGCATGGGTATCCAGGTCCCCCCGGGAGTAAGCAGGGGTGTCAAACTCATTCCATGGAGGGCCAAGTGTCAGCAGGTTTTTGGCTTTTCCTTTCAATTAAGACCTAGACAACCAGGTGAGGGGAGTTCCTGACTAATCAGTGACCTTAATTCATCAATCAAGAACAAGAGTGGAGCGAAAACCCGCAGACACTCAGCCCTCCGTGGAATGAGTTTGACACACGTGGGGTGGAGAGAGCAGGGGTATCCAGGTTTCCTTCTCAAAAAGGTTGCTGGTCAGTATCCTGGTCCCAGATCAGTTTGTGATTTTGCCTACTCCAGTCATTGTTTTGCATGACGATTCCATAAGGAGTTGCAAGAGAGCACAAACAGTCTGGCGCCCAGGCTAGCTGGCCAGTGGTCTGGTCTGGTGGTCTGGGAGGGTTGCTAGGAGACCGGTGGCTCAGCTGCTCTTGAGAAGCTCAATGCAGCCCTGCAGCAGAGACATGTTGTTCTGGGAAAAACAGAGAGAACAGCGATATCAGTATCATATCCATGACAACAACCACAAAAACAACAGACATTTCACAAGGAATGGGGCACAATATATACATACACACCACGACCACATAACATGAACCACTACTAGACTTGGGCGGATTGTCATACCTTCATACCGACCTTGTGCCATACCGGGATATTCAGTAATACCGGCACTGAACACAAGGGGCGCTGTTTTCAAACCCCACTGATCCCATAGAGAATGCTACCTAAATGCTGACGAGCGCATTGCAAACCTTTTACAGTCTATGACCTAACCTATACAAGTAACTCAAAAATGCTACTCACAGTTTGCTGCACCCACAAAACTAATATTAGACGGCAAGGCTCTTGATCCAGGAGGGGATTCTCTGCTGTTAGCAAGTGAATGCTTGATTTTGGAGGAAGCTAACCACTTAGCTAGATAGCTAACTAACTACTAAATTAGCAAACCAAATGCACAACTACAGAGCATTAAGTTAATTTAATAGTTATAAGATATCTAGCTGTCAAGCATTTAGTTGTGAATTCCATACTGTAATTGGATCACCTGGCGCATGCTGCTCAACAGTGAGTGACTCACAAGGCTCTGGTCTCTCTTCATTGTGTGCTTGTAAACAAAACACCACGTGACTGGGGACTACCGGAAGCTTCATAATCAAAAAATGACGTGACGGGTGAAATGAAGAACGTAATCTTCTTTATCTCCTAACGTATGGCACAAGTTGACTATAGGTACAGTATTTACTTAAAAAGTAGCTACACATTTTCAAATGTATTAAAAAACATCAAATAAATAGTTTCAACGGTATTGAAAAACCATCCCGTGGCTTTTTCCAAATACCCGGTATACCAGAAAAGCCTATTCACTACCACATAACATGAACCTCTAGCAAGGCAGCTAACCCCCAGACAACAACTGCTCCCCGGGCGCCGATGACGTGGACTTCGAATAATGGAGATTCAAAGGGGTTGGGTTAAATGCGGGAGACATTTCGGTTGAATGCATTCAGTTGTACAACTGACCAGGTATCCTCTTTCCAACAACAACGTAGAGCGTTGTGTTTGGGGCTGGTCTAGCGGGTAACACCACCTGCAGATAGTCACCTCACTAGACAGTCCGACTCACCTTAGCATGCTTGATCTCCAGTTCTGCCATCTCTATCAGGTTCTTACGGAAAGCCACCACTCTCCTGCCCTTAAAACTGGTCAGCTCTGGGAAGAGAACACCATGCTGTTAGTACTCACTGTACTATGTTAGAAAACGTTAGCCCAAACCTACATTCATCCTGTCTAAAGGCATTCGTATCCATAGGTTCGATGTGCTCCTAGCAGAAATCCTACCGTTGTTTGTTCCTCTTGAGACGCCGTAGAAACATCATAAGCCAGTAAACACTTCCTCAAAATAGTCCATATTAATCTAAGATAAATCAGGAAATCTGTAATAAATGTTTACGTTTTTTTCCGAGGAGGTCATAGTCGCGCAATTTTACAAATGTAGAGGTTTAATGCAGTACTTCGAGTGATAAATGTGCATGAAAACTAGTAGTGCACTGCAGACAGTAGTTCCTATCTGCCGCTACCCTCGCCACTCTCTCTCGTTAATCAAAGAATCCTGTCCATACCGCCCACCCCTACTGTTGACCAATCACCGAGGAAGGAGCGTATACTTTGGCTACCGAACAAATATTGTGGGCGCGAACAGCCCCCCAAAAAACTGCCGAACACCAAAACGTCACAAAATGTCATAATATATGCGAACTGTTTCGACTGGCATTACACACCTCTTTTTCCCGACTCGGAGAGCTTGTCAAACTTCTGCAGACATTGTTGTTGGTGCTCCTCAGCCAGAGTAATGTCTTTACTCTTCAGCCGGGCCTTGTCCAGAGCCTTGTTACTGTTCTCATAGTCAGCCAGGGCCCGAGCCCGCCTGTATAACAGGTCCTGATACACACACACACACACACACACACACACACACACACACACACACACACACACACACACACACACACACACACACACACAGCCGTTAATAGGGTTGGGCGGTATCCAGATATTCATACCATCATATTGTTTCTGTGCCATACCGGGGTAGACGGTATTACCAAATGTTTTTTTTTTTTTTTTTTTACCCACAAAACATATTTAGGCAACACAGATCTTGATCCAGGAGGGGTTTGAATGTCTCTGCTGTAACCAAGAAGCTTGATCTTGACATTTAGATTTCTATACTTATCTTATGGTTATAAGCAGTGGGGTACCCACCCCTCCCAAAAAACTATATTGAACGTCGGTATTTCTAAATATACCTTTATACCGTGGTATCACCTAAGCCTAGCGGTTAAGACACATCCATATAGAGGTCAAGACACAAACACATCCATATAGAGGTCAAGACACAAACACATCCATAGAGAGGTCAAGACACATCCATATAGGAGGTCAAGACACATCCATATAGGAGGTCAAGACACATCCATAGAGAGGTCAAGACACATCCATAGAGAGGTCAAGACAAATCCATATAGGAGGTCAAGACACATCCATAGAGAGGTCAAGACACATCCATATAGGAGGTCAAGACACATCCATATAGGAGGTCAAGACACATCCATAGAGAGGTCAAGACACATCCATAGAGAGGTCAAGACACATCCATAGAGAGGTCAAGACACATCCAGAGAGGTCAAGACACATCCAGAGAGGTCAAGACACATCCAGAGAGGTCAAGACACATCCATAGAGAGGTCAAGACACATCCATAGAGAGGTCAAGACACATCCATAGAGAGGTCAAGACACATCCATAGAGAGGTTAAGACACATCCACGTTCATGTAGCGTTTAAGAAAAATACAGAATTTCTCAGAGTGATAAAGATAATAACTGACCCAAGATAGACCAGAGCTTCCTGTCCTTTCCAATGGGAGCAAATTAATCATAGTGGGCAGAACAAGCAAGGAGGTGGGCAGAGCCAAGCACGAGCTAGTGAGATCCTCTGTGAAATGCGTGTGTGCAATACACTCAATTCGTCCTTGCATTCCTTCTAAACAACGCAATTTTTATAAACTTTGGCAAAGGGTAAAGTCTACAAAATGCAGTCCACTCTTTGTTACAGACTCTAGTTTTGGAAACAGAAAACTCTATGGAGATTAAATGTTTCAACGATGAGAAAATTAGCAGAATGTTGGCCAAAATCCATCTCGTGCCATCTTCTCCCACTGCCGGCCAATGGGATTCCTCTCCTCATCATATTTGGTAGTGAATGGAAACGCCAACCGGATGCTTCACATTTATACATCCGGTGAAATATCACTGACCTAGCTGTTTTTTTTTATATCTGTGGTCACAATAAGCCTGTTATTTTCTTGTCCTTGAAAAAAGTAATGTAAGTAATATGTACGCCTATCGTGTTTCCAGGTAATGTAAGTAATATGTACGCCTATCGTGTTTCCAGGTAATGTAAGTAATATGTACGCCTATCGTGTTTCCAGGTAATGTAAGTAATATGTACGCCTATTGTGTTTCCAGGTGCATTGAGAGAAAAAAAAACTATTCAATAAAAAGGAATAAACTCCAGCACTCTGGGGGTCTTGGATGCTCCACAAACAGTTCAATGGATGTCACAACCAACATTTCAACAGTCAAAAGAAGTTCATCAGGGTTTTTGACAGAGAAACAGACTGACAGACTAGAGGTGGCTCACCTTAGCTGCCTGGATGTCCCTCATGTAGTATCGGAGCAACTCGGTGAGCTTCAGCTCCTCGTCTGACGCCACTCTGCCCTCCACCTTCTACAGACAGGACCAGATAGATAGAACACAGATGTTATGACGCCACTCTGCCCTCCACCTTCTACAGACCAGATAGATAGAACACAGATGTTATGACGCCACTCTGCCCTCCACTTTCTACAGACAGGAGCAGATAGATAGAACACAGATGTTATATTTACATTTTACATTTTAGTCATTTAGCAGACGCTCTTATCCAGAGCGACTCACAGGAGCAATTAGGGTTAAGTGCCTTGCTCAAGGGCACATTCACGTCATTTAGCAGACGTTATGACGTCGCTCCACCCCCCCCCCCTACCCCCCTACCCGGACTACCCTTTTGCACTAACTGTTTTGACTCGTCAAATATGCTGCTGCTACTGTCTATTATCTATCCTGTTGCCTAGTCACTTTACCCCTACCTACAGTATACTGCTGCTACTGTCTATTATCTATCCTGTTGTCTAGTCACTTTACCCCTACCTACAGTATACTGCTGCTACTGTCTATTATCTATCCTGTTGCCTAGTCACTTTACCCCTACCTACAGTATACTGCTGCTACTGTCTATTATCTATCCTGTTGCCTAGTCCCTTTACCCCTACCTACAGTATACTGCTGCTACTGTCTATTATCTATCCTGTTGTCTAGTCACTTTACCCCTACCTACAGTATACTGCTGCTACTGTCTATTATCTATCCTGTTGCCTAGTCCCTTTACCCCTACCTACAGTATACTGCTGCTACTGTCTATTATCTATCCTGTTGTCTAGTCACTTTACCCCTACCTACAGTATGCTGCTGCTACTGTCTATTATCTATCCTGTTGTCTAGTCACTTTACCCCTACCTACAATATACTGCTGCTACTGTCTATTATCTATCCTGTTGTCTAGTCACTTTACCCCTACCTACAGTATACTGCTGCTACTGTCTATTATCTATCCTGTTGTCTAGTCACTTTACCCCTACCTACAGTATACTGCTGCTACTGTCTATTATCTATCCTGTTGCCTAGTCACTTTACCCCTACCTACAGTATACTGCTGCTACTGTCTATTATCTATCCTGTTGCCTAGTCACTTTACCCCTACCTACAGTATACTGCTGCTACTGTCTATTATCTATCCTGTTGCCTAGTCACTTTACCCCTACCTACAGTATACTGCTGCTACTGTCTATTATCTATCCTGTTGTCTAGTCCCTTTACCCCTACCTACAGTATACTGCTGCTACTGTCTATTATCTATCCTGTTGCCTAGTCACTTTACCCCTACCTACAGTATACTGCTGCTACTGTCTATTATCTATCCTGTTGTCTAGTCCCTTTACCCCTACCTACAGTATACTGCTGCTACTGTCTATTATCTATCCTGTTGTCTAGTCACTTTACCCCTACCTACAGTATACTGCTGCTACTGTCTATTATCTATCCTGTTGCCTAGTCACTTTACCCCTACCTACAGTATACTGCTGCTACTGTCTATTATCTATCCTGTTGCCTAGTCACTTTAAAAAAATGAAATAAAAATGAAATATGAACAGCTCACAAAAGCAAACACAAGTGTTTAAATGTATTGCTGACTTCACTAAATGAATTTGCATGGAAATGGACAATAAAAGGGATCATATAAAAGTTAATAAAGATAGGAAATAGTTGAGGATGAGGAGTGCAGAAGACCGGCAGTGTGGTTCTTACCCGTAGTTTCTCAAACAGGTCGGCTAACTTCTCAAGGAGCCTGAAGGGAATACACAAACCATCAACAGTTGAGCAAAGTCAGAACATTCTCTTTCGTTTTTCTGTTATTGGTTGAGATGTAAACCATTAATTTAGCAACCTGTTGTTGGCTTGAGTTAACAAATGGCCCCCATTCACATACTTAGTACTATAATAAGATGCCTTCGGAAAGTATTCAGACCCCTTGACTTTTTCCACATTTTGTTACGTTACAGCCTTATTCTAAAATGGATTAAATAAAAAATCCTCAGCAATCTACACACAATACCCCGTAACGACAAAGTGAAAACAGGTTTTTAGAAACTGTGGCAAATTTATTAAAAATAAAAAACAGTGGAAACAGACACAACAATGGAAACAGAAACCTTATTTACATAAGTATTCAGACCCTTTGCTATGAGACTCGAAATTGAGCTCAGGTGCATCCTGTTTCCATTGATCATCCTTGAGATGTTTCAACAACTTGATTGGAGTCCACCTGTGGTAAATTCAATTGATTGGACATGATTTGGAAAGGCACACACCTGTCTATATAAGGTCCCACAGTTGACAGTGTATGTCAGAGCAAAAACCAAGCCATGAGGTCGAAGGAATTGTCCATAGAGCTCCGATGCAAGATTGTGTTGAGGCACAGCTCTGGGGAAGGGTACCATGAAATGTCTGCAGCATTGAAGGTCCCCAACAACACAGTGGCCTCCATCATTCTTAAATGGAAGAAGTTTGGAACCACCACCACTGGCCGCCTGGCCAGCTCTGAGCAATCAGGGGAGAAGGGCCTTGGTCAGGGAGGTGACCAAGAACCCAATGGTCACTCTGACAGAGCTCCAGAGTTCCTCTGTGGAGTTGGGAGAACCTTTTAGAAGGACAACCATCTCTGCAGCACTCCGCCAATCAGGCCTTTATGGTAGAGTGGCCAGACGGAAGCCACTCCTCAGTAAAAGGCACATAACAGCCCGCTTGGAGTTTGCCAAAAGGCACCTAAAAGACTCTCAGACCATGAGAAACAAGATTCTCTGGTCTGATGAAACCAAGATTGAACTCTTTGGCCTGAATGCCAAGCGTCACGTCTGGAGGAAACCTGGCACCATCCCTACGGTGAAGCACGGTGGTGGCAGCATCATGCTGTGGGGATGTTTTTCAGCGGCAGGGACTGGGAGACTAGTCAGGATCGAGGGAAAGATTAATGGAGCGAAGTACAGAGAGATCCTTGATGAAAACCTGCTCCAGAGCGCTCAGGACCTCAGACTGGGGCGAAGGTTCACCTTCCAACAGGACAACGACCCTAAGCATACAGCCAAGACAATGCGGGAGTGGCTTCGGGACAAGTCTCAATGTCCTTGAGTGGCCCAGCCAGTGCCCGGACTTGAACCCGATCGAACATCTCGGGATAGACCTGAAAATAGCTGTGCAGGAACGCTCCCCATCCGACCTGAGAGAGGTTGAGAGGATCTGCAGAGAACAATGGGAGAAACTCCCCAAATACAGGTGTGCCAAGCTTGTAGCGTCATACCCAAGAAGACTCAAGGCTGTAATCGCTGCCAAAGGTGCTTCAACAAAGTACTGAGTAAAGGGTCTGAATACATATGTAAATGTGATATTTCCATTAAATTTTTATAAATTAGCAACAATTTATAAAAACCTATTTTTGCTTTGTCATTATGCAGTATTGTGTGTAGATTGATGAGGGGAAAAAACTATTTGATCCATTTTAGAATAAGGCTGTAACCTAACGAAATGTGGAAAAAGTCAAGGGGTCTGAATATTTTCCGAAGGCACTGTATGTTGTTACTTACTTTTTAAGTGCTGTGTTGTCATCGACAGAGAGACTGTTCAAAGTGGAAGAGATGTGGATGTAATCGTCAGCAACATCTGAGACAAAGAGAGACAAGACAATCAACACTCAGTATGGGTAACTGGAAGACGTTGTACCACATCCTGCTGGTCATCTATGAATGTTTGAACGTCTTGAAAACTATCTGGCCTTAATGGCCACATGTACTCTTAAATCTCTACCCGGTACAGCCAGAAGAGGACTGGCCACCCCTCTGAGCCTGGTTCCTCTCTACCCGGTACAGCCAGAAGAGGACTGGCCACCCCTCTGAGCCTGGTTCCTCTCTACCCGGTACAGCCAGAAGAGGACTGGCCACCCCTCTGAGCCTGGTTCCTCTCTACCCGGTACAGCCAGAAGAGGACTGGCCACCCCTCTGAGCCTGGTTCCTCTCTACCCGGTACAGCCAGAAGAGGACTGGCCACCCCTCTGAGCCTGGTTCCTCTCTACCCGGTACAGCCAGAAGAGGACTGGCCACCCCTCTGAGCCTGGTTCCTCTCTACCCGGTACAGCCAGAAGAGGACTGGCCACCCCTCTGAGCCTGGTTCCTCTCTACCTAGTACAGCCAGAAAAGGACTGGCCACCCCTCAGAGCCTGGTTCCTCTCTACCCAGTACAGCCAGAAGAGGACTGGCCACCCCTCTGAACCTGGTTCCTCTCTACCCGGTACAGCCAGAAGAGGACTGGCCACCCCTCTGAGCCTTGCTCTTTGGGACTTTTAGGCTGGGTATCTTTAAAGCACTTTGTGACAACTGCTGATGTAAAAAGGTCTTTATAAAATAAATGTGACTGAATCATCTATGAAAAAGGAAAATAACTGTTCTTATCAATAACACAAGAAAGCAAAAAGACATTTCCGATTCATATTTGACAACAAAGATGTTTGTTAGGGTTGTTGTTGTCATCATAGTCCTACTTTTGTGGGAGCGGGTCATCTTCTCTGCCCTGGCAGTGGAGTCTTTGATCTTAGACGAATAATCAAGCAGGAAGGTCTTCTCCTGCTCAAAGAAATCATCTACTTCCTGCAAGAAAAATAATTTAAAAGCAGGGGTTGGAACCGGTTCAGGGAACAGGATGGAAAACAACAAATGTTCAAGGAACAGAACCGTTATTTTAAAAGCATGGAAACCGGTTGATAACGTTATTTTACGTTCCTGGCATTATTTTCTAGTCCCACAAAAAAACGCGACAAAGAGCCTATGCAAAGCCCTCGCTGTCACTCAGAAACATATTCCAGCGAGCTGAAAATCTTTGCCAGTGGGTGTGCGTGTTTAGACAACCTGCCCCTCTGAAGTATAGGCTACTGGACTGACGTTAGAAGCGTGAGAAGATAGAGATATTTTATTAGCTAGAGAAGAATGGATTAACTTTTTTCAAATGCTAGCTAAGGATTCTATAGGCCTAGTTATCACGTTTCACGTAGATTTTATATTAACTACAAAAAAGGTAAGATGTGTTTTTAATTCTGTTGCTGCTCTGCACACACCAACGCGTTAGCTAGCTAGCTCAAAGGACATTCAAAGTTCCTTCATAGAAGCAACTCCTCCTAGGTATAATTCTGTGGACCTAATTCAGATAATACATGTGATAAGATGCCCAGCGCTTCAAGCCTGCTCCTCAACCCTTCAGTCACATCTTGCACCATAGGTTACACTTGTCTGTCCATCACGCATGTAAACAACTAGCTTGCCTGCTCTAACTGCACTGATTGGTGAAGTCATTTAATTAGCTAAATGTAAAAAAATATATATTGATTTCACATGTTAAAAAGGAACAACATAAACCAGTACTTTTTTGGGGGGTTCGAACCAGTTCACAACTTTATTTTGCTGGTCGGAATGAACAAAAAAAAAATAGTGGTTCTGTTCAGAACAAAACGATTGGAAAATAATTTAGGTTCTGTTTAAAAGGCATCAACCTTCTGCCTAAAATACAGTCACACATACAAAGCCAGATCTTCATTCTGGATATGAAGGGCCCTGCTCAGCAGAACCGTGACGTTCCGTTTCTCTTTCTTAGAGTCTGCTACTGTAATGCATTGTACTGATTTTCTCGGTCTAGTTTTTAATGCATAGCCGACCTCGCAAAATGGATTTCCATGGAAATACACAGTAAAAGCATCGGGCTTGTTTGACAATTCAACCGACAGTGCAGGCGACTGCTGACTGGACTGACTGATCTAGAAATCACCTTGCATAAATAACTACTCATTATTATTTGTAGATCAGTCAGTCACTATTTTCCCACAATGCATCATGGATTTGATGCTCTCGAACGCGGCTACTGTATGATATGAGGAGGCCACACCCACCTTTATCCCTGAGATGATGACCTCGTCAGCACTCTTCACCATATTCTTAAAGAAACTTCCAAACGTCTCCTTGGCATTTTTCCTCCGTACGCTCAGCTACACAGACCAATCACAGGGAGGGAACGGATTTATTCAGAGACATGACTCAGCTAATGACATCACAGTAGAAGTTGGCAATGTAACATTGATTATGTGAGCTGCAACAGTTCCTCTTATGGAGCCCTTTTGTGCCAAATAGGAATGAAGAGGGTTCAGCATTAATACAATAAGCATCACACTGAATATGCCTGTATAACATTTCCCAAAAGGATGAACAAATCCATCTCAGCTGACCCCAGTTGACTAACAGCTCCACTGACAGCGAGAGAATGGTCTAGAATTACAGCTGAAGTCAGCAGCAGGATGTGTGTGTCATTCAGTAGGTCTGCTGCCCTCTCTCTTTCCTGTCCTCCACCTCTCCCTCCTACGGTCCTGTCCTCCACCTCTCCCTCCTACGGTCCTGTCCTCCACCTCTCCCTCCTACGGTCCTGTCCTCCACCTCCTACGGTCCTGTCCTCCACCTCCTACGGTCCTGTCCTCCACCTCCTACGGTCCTGTCCTCCACCTCCTACGGTCCTGTCCTCCACCTCCTACAGTCCTGTCCTCCACCTCTCCCTCCTACAGTCCTGTCCTCCACCTCTCCCTCCTACAGTCCTGTCCTCCACCTCCACCTCCTACAGTCCTGTCCTCCACCTCCTACGGTCCTGTCCTCCACCTCCTACAGTCCTGTCCTCCACCTCCTACAGTCCTGTCCTCCACCTCCTACAGTCCTGTCCTCCACCTCCTACAGTCCTGTCCTCCACCTCCTACAGTCCTGTCCTCCACCTCCTACAGTCCTGTCCTCCACCTCCTACGGTCCTGTCCTCCACCTCCTACGGTCCTGTCCTCCACCTCCTACGGTCCTGTCCTCCACCTCCTACGGTCCTGTCCTCCACCTCCTACAGTCCTCCACCTCCTACAGTCCTGTCCTCCACCTCTCCCTCCTACAGTCCTGTCCTCCACCTCTCCCTCCTACGGTCCTGTCCTCCACCTCCTACAGTCCTGTCCTCCACCTCCACCTCCTACGGTCCTGTCCTCCATCTCTCCCTCCTACGGTCCTGTCCTCCACCTCTCCCTCCTACAGTCCTGTCCTCCACCTCCTACGGTCCTGTCCTCCACCTCTCCCTCCTACGGTCCTGTCCTCCACCTCTCCCTCCTACGGTCCTGTCCTCCACCTCTCCCTCCTACAGTCCTGTCCTCCACCTCCTACGGTCCTGTCCTCCACCTCTCCCTCCTACGGTCCTGTCCTCCACCTCTCCCTCCTACAGTCCTGTCCTCCACCTCTCCCTCCTACGGTCCTGTCCTCTTCCTCCTACAGTCCTGTCCTCTCCCTCCTACGGTCCTGTCCTCCACCTCCTACGGTCCTGTCCTCCACCTCCTACGGTCCTGTCCTCCACCTCCTACAGTCCTGTCCTCCACCTCCTACGGTCCTGTCCTCCACCTCTCCCTCCTACAGTCCTGTCCTCCACCTCTCCCTCCTACAGTCCTGTCCTCCACCTCTCCCTCCTACGGTCCTGTCCTCTTCCTCCTACAGTCCTGTCCTCTCCCTCCTACGGTCCTGTCCTCCACCTCCTACGGTCCTGTCCTCCACCTCCTACGGTCCTGTCCTCCACCTCCTACAGTCCTGTCCTCCACCTCCTACGGTCCTGTCCTCCACCTCTCCCTCCTACAGTCCTGTCCTCCACCTCTCCCTCCTACAGTCCTGTCCTCCACCTCTCCCTCCTACAGTCCTGTCCTCCACCTCCTACAGTCCTGTCCTCCACCTCTCCCTCCTACGGTCCTGTCCTCCACCTCTCCCTCCTACGGTCCTGTCCTCCACCTCCTACAGTCCTGTCCTCCACCTCTCCCTCCTACGGTCCTGTCCTCCACCTCCTACGGTCCTGTCCTCCACCTCCTACAGTCCTGTCCTCCACCTCCTACAGTCCTGTCCTCCACCTCTCCCTCCTACAGTCCTGTCCTCCACCTCCACCTCCTACGGTCCTGTCCTCCATCTCTCCCTCCTACGGTCCTGTCCTCCACCTCTCCCTCCTACGGTCCTGGTCCTCCACCTCCTACGGTCCTGTCCTCCACTCCTACGGTCCTGTCCTCCACCTCCTACGGTCCTGTCCTCCCCTCCTACGGTCCTGTCCCTCCACCTCCTACGGTCCTGTCCTCCACCTCCTACGGTCCTGTCCTCCACCTCCTACGGTCCTGTCCTCCACCTCCTACGGTCCTGTCCTCCACCTCCTACGGTCCTGTCCTCCACCTCCTACAGTCCTGTCCTCCACCTCTCCCTCCTACGGTCCTGTCCTCCACCTCTCCCTCCTACGGTCTGTCCTCCCCACCTCTCCCTCCTACGGTCCTGTCCTCCACTCCTACAGTCCTGTCTCCACCTCCTACAGTCCTGTCCTCCACCTCTCCCTCCTACGGTCCTGTCCTCCACCTCCTACAGTCCTGTCCTCCACCTCCTACAGTCTGTCCTCCACCTCCTACAGTCCTGTCCTCCACCTCTCCCTCCTACAGTCCTTCCTCCACCTCTCCCTCCTACAGTCCTGTCCTCCACCTCTCCCTCTCACTCCTGTCCTCCACCTCTCCCTCCTACACTCCTGTCCTCCACCTCTCCCTCCTACAGTCCTGTCCTCCACCTCTCCCTCCTACACTCCTGTCCTCCACCTCTCCCTCCTACAGTTCTGTCCTCCACTCTCCCTCCTACGGTCCTGTCCTCCACCTCCTACGGTCCTGTCCTCCACCTCCTACGGTCCTGTCCTCCACCTCCTACGGTCCTGTCCTCCAACCTCTACAGTCCTCCACCTCCTACAGTCCTGTCCTCCACCTCTCCCTCCTACAGTCCTGTCCTCCACCTCTCCCTCCTACGGTCCTGTCCTCCACCTCCTACAGTCCTGTCCTCCACCTCCACCTCCTACGGTCCTGTCCTCCATCTCTCCCTCCTACGGTCCTGTCCTCCACCTCTCCCTCCTACGGTCCTGTCCTCCACCTCTCCCTCCTACGGTCCTGTCCTCCATCTCTCCCTCCTACAGTCCTGTCCTCCACCTCTCCCTCCTACAGTCCTGTCCTCCACCTCCTACAGTCCTGTCCTCCACCTCTCCCTCCTACGGTCCTGTCCTCTTCCTCCTACAGTCCTGTCCTCCCCCTCCTACGGTCCTGTCCTCCACCTCCTACGGTCCTGTCCTCCACCTCCTACGGTCCTGTCCTCCACCTCCTACGGTCCTGTCCTCCACCTCCTACGGTCCTGTCCTCCACCTCTCCCTCCTACGGTCCTGTCCTCCACCTCTCCCTCCTACGGTCCTGTCCTCCACCTCCTACGGTCCTGTCCTCCACCTCCTACGGTCCTGTCCTCCACCTCCTACAGTCCTCCACCTCCTACAGTCCTGTCCTCCACCTCTCCCTCCTACAGTCCTGTCCTCCACCTCTCCCTCCTACGGTCCTGTCCTCCACCTCCTACAGTCCTGTCCTCCACCTCCACCTCCTACGGTCCTGTCCTCCATCTCTCCCTCCTACGGTCCTGTCCTCCACCTCTCCCTCCTACGGTCCTGTCCTCCACCTCTCCCTCCTACGGTCCTGTCCTCCATCTCTCCCTCCTACAGTCCTGTCCTCCACCTCTCCCTCCTACAGTCCTGTCCTCCACCTCCTACAGTCCTGTCCTCCACCTCTCCCTCCTACGGTCCTGTCCTCTTCCTCCTACAGTCCTGTCCTCCCCCTCCTACGGTCCTGTCCTCCACCTCCTACGGTCCTGTCCTCCACCTCCTACGGTCCTGTCCTCCACCTCCTACGGTCCTGTCCTCCACCTCTCCCTCCTACGGTCCTGTCCTCCACCTCTCCCTCCTACAGTCCTGTCCTCCACCTCTCCCTCCTACAGTCCTGTCCTCCACCTCCACCTCCTACAGTCCTGTCCTCCACCTCTCCCTCCTACAGTCCTGTCCTCCACCTCTCCCTCCTACAGTCCTGTCCTCCACCTCCACCTCCTACAGTCCTGTCCTCCACCTCTCCCTCCTACGGTCCTGTCCTCCACCTCCTACAGTCCTGTCCTCCACCTCCTACAGTCCTGTCCTCCACCTCCTACAGTCCCTGTCCTCCACCTCTCCCTCCTACGGTCCTGTCCTCCACCTCCTACGGTCCTGTCCTCCACCTCCTACAGTCCTGTCCTCCACCTCCTACAGTCCTGTCCTCCACCTCTCCCTCCTACGGTCCTGTCCTCCACCTCTCCCTCCTACGGTCCTGTCCTCCACCTCCACCTCCTACGGTCCTGTCCTCCACCTCCTACGGTCCTGTCCTCCACCTCCTACGGTCCTGTCCTCCACCTCCTACGGTCCTGTCCTCCACCTCCTACGGTCCTGTCCTCCACCTCTCCCTCCTACGGTCCTGTCCTCCACCTCTCCCTCCTACTGTCCTGTCCTCCACCTCTCCCTCCTACAGTCCTGTCCTCCACCTCTCCCTCCTACAGTTCTGTCCTCCACCTCTCCCTCCTACGGTCCTGTCCTCCACCTCTCCCTCCTACTGTCCTGTCCTCCATCTCTCCCTCCTACAGTTCTGTCCTCCACCTCTCCCTCCTACGGTCCTGTCCTCTCCCTCCTACGGTCCTGTCCTCCACCTCTCCCTCCTACAGTCCTGTCCTCCACCTCTCCCTCCTACAGTACTGACCAGAGGGTAGTGTTCAGTAGGCACAAAACGACTCGAAACAGAGGTACTATCTGAACCGTCCAATAACAAACGTTCATTTTCCACTGCAAAATGTTTTGCTACGGTGTGCTCTAGTGAACACGACCCAGCAGCGAACCAGGAAGTCAGTACTACTGGAAAGTATGCAGTCTGTCTTCTATGTTTCCTTTTCAGTGTCAAACTCACATCCTGGTCATACTCCAGGAATATCTGGAAGTTTCTGTCCTTGCTCAGGATGGGGTGAGAAGATAGTCGCTGCAAGAATACTTCGTGGACTTGAACAGTCTTCTTGAATACAGCCAGGTACTCACTAGAAGAGAGACAGAGCCGGCAGACAGCGAATTACTAACTGATAGAGCACACATAGACAGACAGACAGACACAGATACACACACAGACAGTCACGAGATTGAAATCACCAGAATCCTTCCCACAGGAATCATTAAGAACCATTTTCAAAGAGAAATATTTTAAAACTGTGCCAATTAAGCTTGGACACAGTGACAAGGGGTAAGGGTCAGAACTCACGCTTCTAACTCCTGCTTCATCTTGGCGTATTCCTCCTTGGTCATGGTGGCTTCTCCCTCTCCCAGTTTATGCATCTTCTCCCTGGGGCTCTCAAAGTCTGGCTTCGGGGGGGCTGGAGGGATCTGGACAGACAGGGAGAGGCGGGAGAGGAAAGGAGGAGAGGTGAGTTTCTGGTAAGATTTCTTACACCAGCTGTATGCAGAGCTGTAATAAAACTCAGTGATAGAGCCGATGGTATTAAGAACATTTGAGCAGACACTACAGAGTCCTCCGCACATTCCCCTTCAAGTAACACTTACATGTAATGACAGTGAACTTGTGAAATTACATTCAACTATAAATAAGTGGTGTGTGTGGTCCGTAGACCAGCGATTCTCAACTGGTTGGTCGTGGGTGTCTCAGTAAAAAATTAAATTACAATAAAAAATGTAATGACAACATCCTCCGAACTTAAACGACTTAAACCAGGTAGAAAGCGTGTAGGAATGATAATGAACTTAATATAGAGCTATTAGCAGCGCCATTTTGGTAGATTTTTGTAGTCTCAAACCAGTGAGTTTACTAACATTCATCTTGAATATGGGCAAAATTATATTATTGACAATGAAAGAGGTGGGAATGTTGTTCCCTTGTCATAGAATTGCTACATTCAATATCAATATAGCATTAAAAATAGTTTTCCAGATTGTATTTTTGGCTATTCTTTTTGGGATGCGAATATTGGGTCGCGACTGAGACAACCTGGTTCAATTTGGGTCCCGAGGCAAAACCAGTTGAGAACCACTGCCGTAGACTATTCAAGTCACTCACGATGAGACCGGCATAGTCTCAAACCAGCGTGTGTGTGTGTGTGTGTGTGTGTGTGTGTGTGTGGTGGACTTAACAGGTCACTCACAATGAGCCCAGCATAGTCTTCAGTTTCAACCAGCGTGTCATGGAGCCAGATAAAGTCCTCATGTTGCCTAGGAACAGAGAAGTCTGGCTTCTGGAAGGAGCTCAGGGTGGTCTGGTGAGACAGACAAGACAATTCAAGTCAAGCTCCATTTAAAGTGCATTATCAAAAGGCTTTAATATACACTGAACAAAAATATAAACACAACATGTAAAGTGCTGGTCCCATGTTTCATGAGCCGAAATAAAAGATCCCTGAAATTTTCCAGGCGCACAAAAAGCTTATTTCTCTCAAATTTGTTTACATCCCTGTTAGTGAGCATTTCTCCTTTGCCAAGATAATCCATCCACCTGACAGGTGTGGCATATCAAGAAGCTGATTAAACAGCATGATCATTACATTAGTGGACCTTGTGCTGGGGACAATAAAAGGCACTCTCAAATGTGCAGTTTTGTCACACAACACAATGCCACAGACGTCTCAAAATTTGAGGGAGCTTGCAGATGGCATGCTGACTGCAACAATGTCCACCAGAGCTGTTGCCAGATAATTGTATGTTAATGTCTCTACCACAAGACACCCTCCAACATCGTTTTAGAGAATTTGGCAGCACGTGGGGGGTGGGGTGGGGGTAGAAGGATTACTTTTATACTATTCCAGGTATTCCTTAAAGAGGTAGGGTTTCAAGTGTCTCCGGAAGGTGGTGAGTGACTCCGCTGTCCTGGCGTCGTGAGGGAGCTTGTTCCACCATTGGGGTGCCAGAGCAGCGAACAGTTTTGACTGGGCTGAGCGGGAACTATGCTTCCGCAGAGGAAGGGGAGCCAGCAGGCCAGAGGTGGATGAACGCAATGCCCTCGTTTGGGTGTAGGGACTGATCAGAGCCTGAAGGTACGGCGGTGCCGTTCCCCTCACAGCTCCGTAGGCAAGCACCATGGTCTTGTAGCAGATGCGAGCTTCAACTGGAAGCCAGTGGAGTGTGTGGAGGAGCGGGGTGACGTGAGAGAAGGATAAAGACTGGTACATTTTTAATACATACCTTGGTGTGGACAGTGAACTTGACTTTGTCTCGTTCACAGAGTGCATCAGGAATGTCGATGAGTAGAGAGGCGTCGTTGTTTAGGTCCACAGACACAGAGTGTGCCTAAGAGATGGGGGACAGAATCAAGGACACGGTCAACTTCCACAACTACCAGTTGGCAGAATCCTTCATCTGTGAAATATGTTACATATGCTTGTGTGTGAGACAGAAATTCAACTGAATATTTCTGATCTATTCTAGAGGAGGGCATTCACAGGAAGGGAATGCTGTCTGTAGGCTATGTGAGGCCTGGACAACAAGTGGCCTAGACCCTACCTTTAAGACACGTCAGTAGATTATGGCGTATCATGTCTCAGGGATACCTATTCCAAACTCCCTAACATATTCTTGAAAACCTTACTGTTGACTACCCATGTACTATTGAATGTGACCTTAGACTGGAGAGGACAGAGTGGAGAGAGATCTGGTCTAACACAACACAAATGAAGGCTTTCTTTCACTTTAGAGTGGATTACCAGTAAGTCTCATTACTCTTCACTGAATTCAAAGCCCTGTGATATGTGACTCATACTTGGGATTGAATTACACACACACTAAATTGGTGGAATTACTCCAGCTGTTCTCCCGAAATGGGTAAGTCAGGGTTCCCAAGAATCTGCTAGTGTACATTTCTCCTAGCCTGGTCCCAGATCTGTTTGTAGCATCTTAACACTCCCTATGGTTATTGTTGTCAAGGCTCCATTTCTCCCATCTGAACAGCTGTTTCTGTTTGAGTGGGTGAAACATAATTTGAACAGGATTTGAGAAACCTTGATCATAAACTTGATCCAGATGTTATTAGGATTCATAGATAGATAGGCTAGTACTGTGTGAATGATCCACAGCCTGTACTCTGATACTCAGCATTGCAGAGTCATCAGAAATATAGCAGTGTTAGTTTCCTCTGTAAAGTCTAACAGGAAATGAAAAAAAACCGCAGGACTTTCCAATTCCAAGCCAGTCCATATGTAAGCCATCTGAGTTCTTCTGTCATTGGCCAGGACAATACTTTGCGCACAACACTATTGTGATTTATTGTGCACCAAAGAATATGCAATGCAAAAAAGTAACCTGTTCCTGCCACGTTGCAAGTCACCAAAGGCAATGGTTAGCTCACTGGTCTGTGCTCCACACTCAAAAATCAATAGCCCTCTAGCCACATATCATTCCAAATATAGTGATCGGGGGGAAACGGCAAGAGCAGAAATTGAACCAGCGAGCCTGGTCTGACGTTATTGAAGAAGCCAATGCACTGCCATCCGTGACATAAAAGCTCTGCACCCTCCGCTGCAACTTGCCCTCCCCCCCCCCCCCCCTTAACTTGAAAGCCAAGTTAACAAACAGATCACCGACCATTTCGAATCCCACCGTACATTCTCCGCTATGCAATCCGGTTTCCGAGCTGGTCATGGGTGCACCTCAACCACGCTCAAGGTCCTAAACGATATTATAACCGCGATCGATAAAAGACAGTACTGTGCAGCAGTCTTCATCGACCTGGCCAAGGCTTTCGACTGTCAACCACCGCATTCTTATTGGCAGACTAAATAGCCTTGGTTTCTCAAATGACTGCCTCGCCTGGTTCACCAACTACTTCTCAGATAGAGTTCAATGTGTCAAATCGGAGGGCCTGTTGTCTGGACCTATGGCAGTCTGTGGGGGTGCCACAGGGTTCAATTCTCGGGCCAATTCTATTCTCTGTGTATATCAATGATGTCGCTCTTGCTGCTGGTGACACTTGGATCCACCTCTACGCGGACGACACCATTTTGTATACATCTGGCCCTTCATTGGACACTGTTAACAAACCTCCAAACGAGCTTCAACGCCATACAACACTCCTTCCATAGCCTCCAACTGCTCTTAAACACTAGTAAAACTAAATGAATGCTCTTCAACTGAACGCTGCTTGCACCCACCCACCCGACTAGAATCACTACTCTCGGCGGGTCTGACCTAGAGTATGTGGACAACTACAAATACCTAGGTGTCTGGTTAGACTGTAAACTCTCCTTCCAGACTCATATTAAGCATCTCCAATCAAAAGTTAAATCTAGAATCGGCTTCCTATTTCGCAACAAAGCCTCCTTCACTCATGCTGCCAAACATGCCCTCGTAAAACTGACTATCCTATAGATCCTTGACTTTGGCGATGTCATTTACAAAATAGCCTCCAACACTCTACTCAGCAAATTGGATGTAGTCCATCACAGTGCCAGCCGTTTTGTCACCAAAGCCCCATATACTACCCACCACTGTGACCTGTACACTCTTGTTGGCTGGCCCTCACTACATATTTGTCACCAAACCCACTGGCTCCAGGTCATCTATAAATCACTGCTAGGCAAATCCCTGTCTTATTTTAGCTCACTGGTCACCATAGCAACACCCACCCGTAGTCTGCCGCTCCAGCAGGTATATCTCACTGGTCATCCCCAAAGCCAAAACCTCCTTTGGCCGCCATTCCTTCCAGTTCTCTGCTGCCAATGACTGGAACGAAAAATCTCTGAAGCTGGAGACTCTTATCTCCCTCACTAACTTTAAGCATCAGTTGTCAGAGCACCTTACCGATCACTGCACCTGTACACAGCCATTCTGAAATTAGCCCACCCAACTACCTCAGCCCCATATTGTTATGTATTTTGCACCCCAGTATCTCTATTTGCACATCATCTCTTGCACATCTATCATTCTAGTGTTAATACGAAATTGTAATTATTTTGCATTATGACCTATTTATTGCCTTACCTCCATAATTTACTACATTCGCACACACTGTATATATATTTTCTGTTGTGTTATTGACTGTAGGTTTTGTTTACCCCATATGTAACTCTGTGTTGTTGTTTTTAAATCGCACTGCTTTGCTTTATCTTGGCCAGGTCGCAGTTGTAAATGAGAACTTGTTCTCAACTGGCTTACTTGGTTAAATAAAGGTGAAATAAAAAATTTTAAAAAAGCCCAGCTCTCTTGGCAGAGGCAGTAGAAGACTTAAGAGAGAGCCTACAATTATTATTATTTTTTGTCATTTAGCAGACGCTCTTATCCAGAGCGACTTACAGGAGCAATTGGGTTAAGTGCCTTGCTCAAGGGCACATCGACATATTTTTCATCTATTCGGCTCGGGGATTAGAACCAGCGACCTTTCGGTTACTGGCACAACGCTCACTATACAATTGAACAATACAATATCAAGCATTTTATGGCAAAACTAAAGTAGCCAGGATTGGTGACAATACAATAATGCATAAGATATTGTGACAACATTCGACGGTGAAGTAGCTAGCTAACAAGTTAACGTTAGCTAGCTAGGTCAACACCAAAGGAAATACAATACTAAGTTAGCTAACGTACTGTTACTTTCAACACACTAACGTGTTTCTTTTAGCTAGATAGCAGGCTAAGCAGCCTTACTTTCAGTTCATTAGCTAGTCAGCTAAAGTTATCATAGATAGCCGATTGTATAAATAACGTACCGTTGTGCTTGAAGAAAGTGAGCGTCTCAAACTTCCTAGCTAACTAGATACATTGTCTTATCTAACCACAGCTAGCCGCGTTAGCGGGCTAGCTAACGTTACGTTAATCAAATAGCTAGGTAGTTGGCTAACGATCCGACGTTATTCGCGTACATCGCTTATAACTTACCTTTTCTTTTTCGCTATCATCAAGGGTAGATGTCATGATTATAAAAACACAATACAAACGGTACAAATTGCGCTGTAAATCGATATTCGCTAGCTTCAAAAACACCCCCCCTGTCCTATGACAGATAAATTCCGCCCACTGATTCGCACTGATGTTTTTGATTGGACAAGGTTTCAAGGTTTCAAGGTTTCTGAACGTCAATCAAAATAATTGTTTGTTCTTTTTTGTTGTTGTTGATTCAACGCACGTGGCATTTTGAACATACCGATGCAACAATTAAACATCCTCAATTATTACGTATTTTAAAAAAGGTACTGTATATGGCCACGGAGTATGTGAACTTTTCAAACAAGCTTATTTTTTTTTAGGGCTGGTTTCCAGCTACAATATCACAAGTTCACTTTGATTCCATGTCAGGAAAACACGGACCAGTTTCAAAGACACACCTTCAAATGAATTACTGGACTTGTAGTTTTTTCTATATTATCCCACACAGGATTTCCTTGAGAAGAAAATACAAGCCCCGGCAATCTCTCTCTCTCTCTCTCCGGTGAAAAGGTTTTAACAACAAAAATGGCGCGACGTTTGGGAGAGGTGACTGCTATCCTCTAACTTAATTCGTTATTTTTCTATATCTTCATTAATTATTTAATGTAACCAAAGCATAACCTAAGGTGTTGCTGTCTTGAGTCACTTTAAATACCTAGCTGCAAACGCAAAGATAAAGAAATAAATAGATATATCCTACAACTTTCACTGTGTGCTCCAACCAGCTAACTAGAATGCATTTTCATCAACTGTTGAGATGTGCCCAGCGTGTTGGGGAGCCATCTAGGGTTGTCCCTGGACTCTTCTCCCATTGTACCCGGACTTCCGTGAATACTTTCTCCACCTCCAATGTCTGTCCAGCTCGCAAGAAAAGCAGTCCATACAGTTCGGTGGACAGCGGACGCTACTCCTCACTCCTCAAGTCAGTTGTGTCCCACAGAGTCAGTGCTCAAACTCCCGAGATCCTAGAGGAGCAAGATGTTCAAATCTACGGACCTGTGATAAAATCCCCAACACCATCTCATCGAACCCAACCACCATCCAAAGTGCCTAAAATCCTCCACCCGTTGCTCAACCAAGACAAGGTATTTGAATCTGGCGAAACTGAGTTTGGAGGGGCTCCAGCCAGAATTATCCTACGGAGGGGTCAGGACAGAGGCTCAGGGCCCAGTGTGACCCGTATTCTACAGGAGACTATGTCCCCAGAGCAACAGTTTTACCTGGAGAGATGGAGGAGGAAGATGATAGCTCAACTGGGAGAGGATGGCTTCAAGGAATACAGTCAGAGTAAGTAGGCAGAACCCTCTGATTCTAAAGGTTTGTTTAAGGCTCTAAAATATGAATTTTCTGCATATGAGGACATGACACACACACACACACACACTGTCATTCAAATGACCCAAATGTTTCTATGTCAGATCTCTTCAGGCAAGGGAAGCTTTTCCATACGGCCGTGGAGAGTGTTCTCCCATTGACAACAACAAAGGAGGTACCGGGGGAAGATCCTGAGGAGGCACCAGCGGTTCCGTCCGAGGTAGAGGGATACATGGAGAGTGTACGCCATGTGTTGGAGGACGTTAGGGGAGTGAGAGCCATCGAGAGCCGTGTGCAGCATGACACACTAGGATACCTGGGGATTGTGGACTGTGTGGCTCTCTACAGGTAAGGGTGGTGATGGTGGGCCATGTTCCAGGGGCTGACTACATTGCAGACGACTAATAGATCTCTCAACAACTTGATAGGTGTTCAACACGTCAGCTAACCACATCGTATGATGTAGCAATTTGATGTAATGCATTGTCTGCAATGCAGTGGACTCGATCTCTACCTGACCTGTCCGTTTATTTGGCCAACTCGCACTTTTATTAATTGTCTCCACTTGTGTGATTCCCACGGCCAGTTTCCCCCCAGACTATAAAAACGGGCGTGCTCAATGAAGAATCTCAAGTGGAAGGGCCCTGGACTAGTTCTAAACTGTGTCCCGGGGAAACGTCTCCCCCTAAAGCTCAGCCTTCCTTCCTCAGGGGTGTGCTGTGTGTGATCGATTGGAAAACATCAGAGAGGTCTAAACCGTTCCTCAGCAACACGTACGACAACCCGCTACAGGTGGCAGCCTACGTTGGGGCCTTAAACAACGACGTGAACTACAACTACCAGGTAGGTGTGATTTTTAAACGAGACCACCAGCGATGTAGCGGTAAAAAAAAAAAACTATTAGGTGGGTAAACGTTGATCGCAGTTCATGGTGAGTACAGTAACGCTCCCTGTACTTTCAATGCATTTTTCATCAGAAGGTGGGGTAACCGCACAAGCAAAAATACAAAAGCTGCGTAAACGGCATTTACCCGCATTTACCCTCCACTACACCCCTGGAGACCACCATACTCTCTCAGCCTGTCCTAATTCGCTTCCTACCGCTCCTCCTCGGCCCTAACCCTTCAATGTTTGCAGTTCTGGGTAGGTATAAGCAGTGTAGTGAGGGAGCTTTTGGTTCTGGGTAGGTATAAGCAGTGTAGTGAAGGAGCTTCCAGTTCTGAAGGTTCTGGGTAGGTATTACATTTACATTTTAGTCATTTAGCAGACGCTCTTATCCAGAGCGACTTACAGGAGCAATTAGGGTTAAGTGCCTTGCTCAAGGGCACATTTACGTCATTTAGCAGACGCTCTTATCCAGAGCGACTACAAATTGGTGCATTCACCCTATAGCCAGTGGGATAACCACTTTACAATTATACTTTTTTTTTTTTTTTTGGGGGGGGGGGGGGGGGTAGAAGGATTACTTTATCCTATCCCAGGTGTTCCTTAAAGAGGTGGGGTTTCAAATGTCTCCGGAAGGTGGTGAGTGACTCCGCTGTCCTGGCGTCGTGAGGGAGCTTGTTCCACCATTGGGGTGCCAGAGCAGCGAACAGCTTTGACTGGGCTGAGCGGGAACTATGCTTCCGCAGAGGAAGGGGAGCCAGCAGGCCAGAGGTGGATGAACGCAATGCCCTCGCCTGGGTGTAGGGACTGATCAGAGCCTGAAGGTACGGAGGTGCCGTTCCCCTCACAGCTCCGTAGGCAAGCACCATGGTCTTGTAACGGATGCGAGCTTCAACTGGAAGCCAGTGGAGTGTGCGGAGGAGGGGGGTGACGTGAGAGAACTTGGGAAGGTTGAACACCAGACGGGCTGCGGCATTCTGGATGAGTTGTAGGGGTTTAATGGCACAGGCAGGGAGCCCAGCCAACAGCGAGTTGCAGTAATCCAGACGGGAGAAGACAAGTGCCTGGATTAGGACCTGTGCCGCTTCCTGTGTAAGGCAGGGTCGTACTCTCCGAATGTTGTAGAGCATGAACCTGCAGGATCGGGTCACCGCCTTGATGTTGGCGGAGAACGACAGGGTGTTGTCCAGGGTCACGCCAAGGCTCTTCGCACTCTGGGAGGAGGACACAACGGAGTTGTCAACCGTGATGGCGAGATCATGGAACGGGCAGTCCTTCCCCGGGAGGAAGAGCAGCTCCGTCTTGCCAGGGTTCAGCTTGAGGTGGTGATCCGTCATCCATACTGATATGTCGGCCAGACATGCAGAGATGCGATTCGCCACCTGGTTATCAGAAGGGGGAAAGGAGAAGATTAGTTGTGTATCGTCAGCGTAGCAATGATAGGAGAGGCCATGTGAGGATATGACAGAGCCAAGTGACTTGGTGTATAGGGAGAAAAGGAGAGGGCCTAGAACTGAGCCCTGGGGGACACCAGTGGTGAGAGCACGTGGTGCGGAGACAGCTTCTCGCCACGCCACTTGGTAGGAGCGACCGGTCAGGTAGGACGCAATCCAGGAGTGAGCCGCGCCGGAGATGCCCAGCTCGGAGAGGGTGGAGAGGAGGATCTGATGGTTCACTGTATCAAAGGCAGCAGACAGGTCTAGAAGGACAAGAGCAGAGGAGAGAGAGTTAGCTTTAGCAGTGCGGAGAGCCTCCGTAACACAGAGAAGAGCAGTCTCAGTTGAATGACCAGTCCTGAAACCTGACTGGTTTGGATCAAGAAGGTCATTCTGAGAGAGATAGCAAGAGAGTTGGCTAAAGACGGCACGCTCAACAGTTTTGGAAAGAAAAGAAAGAAGGGATACTGGTCTGTAGTTGTTGACATCAGTGGGATCGAGTGTTGGTTTTTTGAGAAGGGGTGCAACTCTCGCTCTCTTGAAGACGGAAGGGACATGGCCAGCGGTCAAGGATGAGTTGATCAGCGAGGTGAGGTAGGGGAGAAGGTCACCGGAGATGGTCTGGAGAAGAGAGGAGGGGATGGGGTCAAGCGGGCAGGTTGTTGGGCGGCCTGCAGTCACTAGTCGCAAGATTTTATCTGGAGAGAGAGGGGAGAAAGAAGTCAAAGCATAGGGTAGGGCAGTGTGAGCAGGACCAGCAGTGTCATTAGACTTAACAAACGAGGATCGGATGTCTTCAACCTTCTTTTCAAAGTGGTTGACAAAGTCATCCACAGAGAGGGAGGAGGGGGGGGGGGGAGGATTCAGCAGTGAGGAGAATGTGGCAAAGAGCTTCCTAGGGTTAGAGGCAGATGCTTGGAATTTAGAGTGGTAGAAAGTGGCCTTAGCAGCAGAAACAGATGAAGAAAATGTAGAGAGGAGGGAGTGAAAAGATGCCAGGTTGGCAGGGAGTTTAGTTTTCTTCCATTTCCGCTCAGCTGCCCGGAGCTCTGTTCTGTGAGCTCGCAATGAGTCATCAAGCCACAGAGCTGGAGGGGAGGACCGAGCCAGCCGGGAGGATAGGGGACACAGGGAGTCAAAGGATGCAGAAAGGGAGGAGAGGAGGGTTGAGGAGGCAGAATCAGGAGATTGGAGGCAGAAGGATTGAGCAGAGGGAAGAGATGATAGGATGGAAGAGGAGAGAGTAGTGGGAGAGAGAGAGCGAAGGTTGCGGCGGCGCGTTACCATCTGTGTAGGGGCAGAGTGAGTAGTGTTGGAGGAGAGCGAGAGAGAAAAGGATACAAAGTAGTGGTCGGAGACATGGAGGGGAGTTGCAGTGAGATTAGTAGAAGAGCAACATCTAGTAAAGATGAAGTCAAGCGTATTGCCTGCCTTGTGAGTGGGGGGGGGGGGGATGGTGAGAGGGTGAGGTCAAAAGAGGAGAGGAGTGGAAAGAAGGAGGCAGAGAGAAATGAGTCAAATGTAGACGTGGGGAGGTTGAAATCCCCCAAGACTGTGAAGGGTGAGCCATCCTCAGGAAAGGAACTTATCAAGGCGTCAAGCTCATTGATGAACTCTCCAAGGGAACCTGGAGGGCGATAGATGACAAGGATATTAAGCTTAAATGGGCTAGTGACTGTGACAGCGTGGAATTCAAATGAGGAGATAGACAGATGGGTTAGGGGAAAAATTAATCCATGTTTCCGTCAGTGCCAGGAAGTCGAGGGACTGGAGGGTGGCATAGGCTGGGATGAAGTCAGCCTTGTTGGCGGCAGAACGGCAGTTCCAGAGGCTGCCTGAGACCTGGAACTCCAGGTGTGTGGTGCGTGCAGGGACCACCAGGTTAGAGAGGCAGCAGCCACGCGGTGTGAGGCGTTTGTGTAGCCTGTGCGGAGAGGAGAGAACAGGGATAGGCAGAGGCATAGTTGACAGGCTGCAGCAGATGGCTACAATAATGCAGAGGAGATCGGGATGAAATGAACTAAACATCAGGGAAAGGAGAGAGCATGCCTCCCTCACCAAAAAAAATATATATATATAACTCTCCCAACTTCCACCTCAGAAACTATAATTGTTTCACTGAACCACCCGAGTAAAACTCTCCCAACTTCCACTTTAGAAATTAGAATTGTTGTAAACTACAGCAGACTGTTATCAGTAGCTGTAGTTAAGTACAGCAGCTACCAACCACCTAACGTTAATGCCTCGGATGAGGTTAGAAAAACAGCTGAATGGTAGCAGCTAGCTGGCTCAATGACAGGTACTCTTAAGCATGAAATAACATTGGAAACAATTAACCATAGTTGCAAAAAGTTACCAGTAGCTACCCGCTAGCTAGCTAGCTTTGTTGGTCCAAGTAGTGGGTAGGCTAGCCTCGTGCTTCGCCGGAGTCCGCCGAATACAGTCCTTACCTACAATAATTACTTACAATAACCTTCAATAACTACCTGAGTAAGCTACCTATAATACCAAACTACAATACCTACCTACAATCTAAATACATTGTTTAAGCTTTACTCAACACCATATAAGAAGCCAAGCTTACCTTTCATAACGCAGCAACGATTAAACGTTGGGTAGCTAGCACAAAGATATTGTATTTAGCTACCACAGCCTGCTGGTAGTGTTGGCTGGCTAGCAATGGCTACTGTGTTGACTTTGTTTGAAAAACGGCGTCGCTGCGAACGAATGTAGCTGGCTAAAAGGATATTGTTTTTAGTTGCAACCGTTGCTCCTTCACAGGTATAAGCAGTGTAGTGAAGGAGCTTCCAGTTCTGAAGGTTCTGGGTAGGTATAAGCAGTGTAGTGAAGGAGCTTCCAGTTCTGAAGGTTCTGGGTAGGTATAAGCAGTGTAGTGAAGGAGCTTCCAGTTCTGAAGGTTCTGGGTAGGTATAAGCAGTGTAGTGAAGGAGCTTCCAGTTCTGAAGGTTCTGGGTAGGTATAAGCAGTGTAGTGAAGGAGCTTCCAGTTCTGAAGGTTCTGGGTAGGTATAAGCAGTGTAGTGAAGGAGCTTCCAGTTCTGAAGGTTCTGGGTAGGTATAAGCAGTGTAGTGAAGGAGCTTCCAGTTCTGAAGGTTCTGGGTAGGTATAAGCAGTGTAGTGAAGGAGCTTCCAGTTCTGAAGGTTCTGGGTAGGTATAAGCAGTGTAGTGAAGGAACTTCCAGTTCTGAAGGTTCTGGGTAGGTATAAGCAGTGTTGTGAAGGAACTTCCAGTATTACTGCCACCTTACAGATCTGCAAACGTCCAAGGGGGAGGGGCAGGGAGCAAATTGGGACTGGCTGACTCTCTCCCCATGAAACATGTGGTATCTCTTTCCTACATGCTATACAATGTGCTTCATTTCCTCCATGGCTACCCCCACTTTGTCCCTGCAGGTTGAGAATGGACTGATAGTGGTGGCCTATAAAGATGGTTCCCCGGCCCATCCTCATCAACTGAGCTCAGAGCAGGTGCTACACTACTGGGAGAGATGGCTGGTACGACTGGAGGAGTACAGAGAGAGGAGGTGAAGGTGTCTTTGCTGCTGATGTAACGGATGGCATTGCTACTACTCCCTTCCAGAGACCTAGAAGTACTCTCACCCCCAGATACAGACATTTCTTTTATTTTCTGACACATTTGACTGGTGACTTGGACTAAGGAGTGTTAGTCTGCTCAGAAACAGACAATTTAGCATTTTATACTCTGTCCTGCGACTGTCTTTTTGCGCCATTGCCCTATTTTGAGCTTGACACGTTTGACAACAGCTATTTAGTGTAGTGTTGTGTTACCTCAAGGAAGTATTTCAAGCTAGAAAATGCATCACTGACTTTACACTGTGTTGAGAATGTTAAATTGTTGTACAGTGTAACATTTTGTCTAGTCTAAACTTTGAGTTGTTTTGCTTTTAAAGTAGGAACCATAACTTCTGAGGAAATCTAACTACTAGGTGGTAGCATCAGCCTGTGAAGTTCAGTAATCAACAAACGAAGGTGAATGAGAAATGGTTTCTATTATGTTTCATACAATAAAATTATTAAAGGAAAGATACCCTCATTTCAGTTATTAAATTAACATTTACCATCAGAACTCTAAACACAACACTGATAATATGTTACAGCTAAGAATACAATTATAATATTTTCCTTTGTGGTTTTCTAATCTAAACCACAAAACCACACAGTTTACACTAAACATTTGCATGGAGAAACACAAACATAATCTTTGCTAGTGTAAATGGTCTTTGAAGGACCTCCCGAGTGGCGCAGCGGTCTAAAGCACTGCATCGCAGCCGGCCGCGACCGGGAGATTCATGAGGTGGCGCACAATTGGCCCAGCGTCGTCCGGGTTAGGGGAGAGTTTGGCCCGGCCGGGATGTCCTTGTCCCATCGCGCTCTAGCGACTCGTTGTGGCGGGCCGGGCGCCTGCACGCTGACTTCGGTCGCCAGTTGTACGGTGTTTCCTCTGACACGTTGGTGCGGCTGGCTTCCGGGTTAAGCGAGCAGTGTGTCAAGAAGCAGTGCGGCTTGGAAGGGTCGTGTTTCGGAGGACGCATGGCTCTCGACCTTCGGCTCTCCCGAGTCCGTACGGGAGTTGCAGCGATGGGACAAGACTGTAACTACAAACTGGGGAGAAAAAGGGGTAAAGAAAAAAGGTATTTGAATCGTGTGCATTGATAAGATGCATTTAAAAGCATAATATTTAATTTAATGTTCAAAGTAATATTTGGTCAAAGTCCATCCTCCTGCAATGATATGATCTCTCCATACACTTGCATTTTATTTGGATCAAGTAGCTTTTGTCAATATTGATCTCTATGCAAAACCTTAGTCGCAAACTGTTAAAGGCGAACCATGCAGCCCTGTACTGAGGGTCCTCAGTAACGGCCAGAACTAGCTAACGTTAATAATTGAACTGGTACCATGCAGCCCTGTACTGAGGGTCCTCAGTAAAGCCCAGGCTGGTGAAGAGGCTGTAGGACATTGTGTTCTCCTCCTCTATGAAGCAGAACACTGGGTAGCCCTGAGCATAGAGCCTCCTGGACATGCTGCTGACCAGGGCTTTGGCCAGGTCCTGTCCTCTGTCCTCCGGCAGGGTGTACAGGATACCTGTGACAGGGTACGAACCATAGTTTTGGTAATTATTTTCAGGGGGGAACATGTCAAATGTATAAAAGCACCCCTTGGTCCTGTTCAGGTGAGAGCTGTGTAGATCGTTACATGCCCAGGGGTCCTGACCTCCAGGGCGCACCCATTTGATTTTGTTAGTCACTCAATGTCATATTTACATGGCATACAGGTCCCCTGTAGCTCAGTTGGTAGAGCATGGAGCTTGCAACGCCAGGGTTGTGGGTTCGTTTCCCACGGGGGGCCAGTATGAAAATGTATGCACCCACTAACTGTACGTCGCTCTGGATAAGAGCGTCTGCTAAAATGACAAAAAAAAATAAGTCATGGCAAAATGTGTAGAATTGCAGGAAATTAGCTTTAAAACTGAAGAAGAAAGAAAACTCCACCCCATGGCAAAATGGGTAGAAACCAAGAATAGAAAATGCAACACCCTGAAAATAGTTTTTTTTAACCTCAATGGGACTTCCTGGAGAAAGGAGTAAGTTAAATAGAAAACAATTGCGAGCTCACTATCCCATTTTATGGCCCTGCAATCTGCTGCAGCAGGGCCCGACTGAGTTTGGGGGTAGCTCTGGTCCAGGTTGTTGGTGTGTGTTCCTCCACTGCTATACGTTTGGGGGTAGCTCTGGTCCAGGTTGTTGGTGTGTGTTCCTCCACTGCGTTAGAACACTCTTAGAAAAGTAACACATCTGTTCTAAGAGTGTATAGGAATACTAACGACCTGGACCAGAGCTATACGTTTGGGGGAGCTTGAGAGAGAGCTGAAGAGGGTGTTAGTCTCCGGCAGAGGAATTCTCAACATGGTACATGCATTTTAATATCCATATGTGATATACATGAGGGAGAATATGTTGGTCTCTCCAAGGATATTCCTTAAAGTAGCTTCATCTTTAGTAAAATGGACAAATAAAGAGTTGAGACAACTAAATACACTTTGGTTCGACAAAGTTTGGGACGGGTACATCTTGTACTAGTTTCATGTAGTTGCCTGCTCACATAGTGGTTTGCAGAGAATGACATTGAAATCTGGCCAGCGGCCCACAAAAACATGAATTGGGTCAGTCTTAACTCTGCTTATCTGGAAAATGTAACCATAAACTTTGACAAAGTAAAAAGAACCCTTAGACACTACAGATCAAATTGGACGTGGAGAAATGTACATATACGTGACAGTTCCCTAGATCCCTCCTTTAGAAAACAAATACTCAAATATAATACTCTAATACTTAATATATCTTGTCTAGCATTTGTATCTGTTATGTGTGAATTTAGATGTTTTATATATTTTATGCTACATTTTATTCGGTTTTTAAAAATTATATTCTAATACAGTCAAAAGTTTGTACACACCTACTCATTCAAGGGTTTTTCTTAATTTTTACTATTTTCTACATTGTAGAATAATAGTGAAGACATCTAAACTATGAAATAACACATGGAATCATGTAGTAACCAAAAAAGTGTTAAACAAATCAAAATATATTTTAGATTCTTCGAAGTAGCCTTTGACAGCTTTGCACACTCTTGGCATTCTCTCAACCAGCTTCACCTGGAATGCTTTTCCAACAGTCTTGAAGGAGTTCCCACATATACTGAGCACATGTTGGCTGCTTTTCCTTCACTCTGCAGTCCGACTCATCCCAAACCATCTCAAATTTGGTTGAGGTCAGGGGATTGTGGAGGCCAGGTCATCTGATGCAGCACTCCATCAGTCTCCTTCTTGGTCAAATAGCCCTTACATAGCCTGGAGGTGTGTTGGGTCATTGTCCTGTTGAAAAACAAATGATAGTCCCACTAAGCGCAAACCAGATGGGATGGCGTATTGCTGCAGAATGCTGTGGTAGCCATGCTGGTTAAGTGTGCCTTGAATTCTAAATAAATCACTGACAGTGTCACCAGCAAAAGCACCATCACACCTCCTCCTCCATGCTTCACGTTGGGAACTACACATGCAGAGATAATCCGTTCACCTACTCTGCGTCTCACAAAGACAGAGGTTGGAGCCAAAAATCTCAAATATGGACTCATCAGACCAAAGGAAAGATTTTCACTGGTCTAATGTCCATTGCTCGTGTTTTTTGGCCCAAGAAAGTATCTTCTTCTTATTGGTGTCCTTTAGTAGTTGTTCCTTTGCAGCAATTCGACCATGAAGGCCTGATTCACACAGTCTCCTCTGAACAGTTGATGTTGAGATGTGTCTGTTACTTGAACTCTGTGAAGCATTTATTTGGGCTGCAATTTCTGAGGCTGGTAACTCTAATGAACTTATCCTCTGCAGCAGAGGTAACTCTGGGTCTTCCTTTCCTGTGGCGGTCCTCATAAGAGCCAGTTTCATCATAGCGCTTGATGGTTTTTGCGACTGCACTTGAAGAAACGTTTAAAGTTCTTGACATTTTCCGTATTGACTGACCTTCATGTCTTAAAGTAATGATGGCCTGTCATTTCTATTTGCTTATTTGAGCTGTTCTTGCCATAATATGGACTTGGTCTTTTACCAAATAGGACTATCTTCTGTATACCACCCCTACCTTGTCACAACACAGCTGATTGGCTCAAACGCATTAAGAAGGAAAGAAATTCCACAAATTAACTTTTAACAAGGCACACCTTGTTAATTGAAATGCATTCCAGGTGACTACCTCATGAAGCTGGTTGAGAAAATGGCAAGAGTGCAAAGCTGTCGTCAAGGCAAAGGGTGGCTACTTTGAAGAATCTCAAATATAAAATATATTTTGATTTGTTTAACACTTCTTTAGTTACTACATGATTCCATTTATGTTTTGTCATAGTTTTGATGTCTTCACTATTATTCTACAATGTAGAAAACAGTAAAAATAAACACTTGAATGAGTAGGTGTGTCCAAACTTTTGACTGATACTGTATATTATATTCTAATCTAATCTATTCCAAAAAATATCATCTGTGTATTATAAAATGAAAATGTATTTAAAGGGCATTTCAAGCCTCAATACACCTACCAAAAAAGTATAATTGAAAAATAAAAATGAACATACAGTGCCTTGCAAAAGTATTCATCCCACTTGGCGTTCTTCCTATTTTGTTGCATTACAACCTGTAATTTAAATTGATTTTTATTGGATTTCATGCAATGGACATACACAAAATAGTCCAAATTGGTGAAGTGAAATTAAAAAAATAACTTGTTTAAAAAAATTCTAATAAATAAATAACGGAAAAGTGGTGCGTGCATATGTATTCCCCCCCTTTGCTATGAAGCCCCTAAATAAGATCTGGTGCAACCAATTACCTTCAGAAGTCACATAATTAGTTAAATAAAGTCCACCTGTGTGCAATCTGTGTCACATGATCTCAGTACAGTGCCCTCCACTATTATTGGCACCCCTGTTTAAGATGTGGTCGAGGACTTCCAAAAATTCTCATTTTTTTTAAACATAGAACCCAAATGCAAAAAAAGAGAAAAATCCAACCTTTTATTTAAGTACATTACTTTGGTGGTAAAAAAAAAATATCACACATTTAGAAAAAAAAAAACTTGAAATCATGTGTCCCACAATTATTGGCACCCCTAACAATTCCGCTGAAAATTTTTATTGATTTTTTTAAAAATATATTTTTCTGTAGTTGCTAAAGTTGGTCAGGGTATCTAGGAACTTTTTTTCTATATATATATTTTTTGTTTTTAGGGGGAATGGATCAGCTTAATATTGCAGATAGATTGTATCTTCTATCAATGTAATTGTCTGCATCACTTCCAATCCCCCATGTTTTTTTTATTTTTTATATATATACTCCCCTTTATTACTTTTCAACCCCACCATCCTTTCCCTAATTGGAGTAAATTAGTGAACAACAATGCCCAGGCCTCTACTTCCGTTCTATACTTACTATCTACACCTTATGGACATAGTTAATTTTACAATAATTCTATTATATA